GGGGAGGCTTTGGTTGGTTGATGATGCATGAGGGGACTGTATTCATGGCAATGAAGTGATATAAGATAGGATGAATGTAAAGCTAATGTTCTCCCATATAAACGATCACATAATTCACAATAAAACATTAAAAAAAAATTACTGAAAATATCTCACTTTTTTTTTATGACAGCTAAGGTCCATTTACTAGTACTACAACATAAGAAGGAATCCTGGTGTGGCAATATAGGATACGTACTGGGCTGTTAACCTGTTAACCACAAGATTGGCAGTTCAAACCCACCAATCTCTCCTGGGAAGACCTATTCAGGGTTGCTATGACCCAGAACCAACTTGATAGCAATTAATAACAAGAACAACTATGTAAGATATCAAAGGATCAATTGAACTTGGCATTCATAAGCTACCAAGTTTAACTGCCCTTTTAATAACACGCTTGGTATGATGGTTCAGTGGTAATAGTGCTCAGCTACTACCTGAAAGGTCAATAGTTCCAACCCACCAGGCACTCTGCTTTTGTAAAGACTTACAACCTTGAGAACCCTACCAGGCAGTTCTACTCTATCCTGAAGAGTCACAATGAGGTGGGACTCTACTCCACAGTAATTTATATTGTTGTGGTTTTTTAAAGTTCATTAACTACCATGATCCAATTTTACATATTAGTAAAATATGATTCTAATTTAGTAATCTACAAGTTGTCTGACTGCCATTAAATGCTTAGCATCCCTGAAAATTTTCCAATAAGCACAGATACGCATAGATTGTTGTGGCGCAGTAGGATAAAGTACTGGACTGAAAGGTTAATTTGAACCAAAAGGTCGGCAGTTCAAACTCACCAGCCGCTCCTTGGAAACCCAATACAGGGTTACTATGGGTAGGAAATGACTCAACAGCACTTAACAACAACAATTACTTAAAAGGATAAGTTTAACACATCAGAGTATCAGCAGTATTGTCTTAGCTATGTATGATTTTAAATTGACATAGTCCTAGTTTAAAATTTTTATGTTGTGGTTACAGAAACAGCTGGTACAGAACTATGTAAATTAAATGCATTTTTGCTCTCCATCAAAAACGATGTTTAAAATTTTTATTTAAAGTTCTGCGATTTTTTTTATGCTATTTAAATCTATTTAAAGTTCTATGTTTTTTTTAAAACTCTGTTTTTGCAATAATTGAGTAGTGATCGCACTACATTTTATAGATGTGAATGTGTCATCATATTTAGTTTCAAAATCTTTTTCAAGGAAAAAACAGGGTGGTATGCATATTTATTTTCCTCATAAATTTCTTTAAAAATATTTCACAATTTGCTCTCTGATAGCTCATGGGAGGAAAAGAAGTAGGTCTCAAAACTAGAGCTGGAAATCACTGCTTTATCTAGAATGTCACAATCATCTTAAAGATATACACTCTCATTCACCAAATACTTACTGAGTTTAAACATTATGTTAAACTGAAGGATTACACGGTTATACACTCAAGAAAAATCAGAGCATGCTTCAGCTCAATAAATGAACACACAAACAAAACTAAAATAGTTTGATGCTACTGCTTTTGTGTATGGACAAATTTCTCAAAGAGGGCTCATAGGAAGTTTACCTATAGAGTTCATAAGAAAGTACAAGAAGGCTTCAAAAGTAAATGGAGCTTTAGACTACCTGAGGGGTATTTATTCAGCACACCTTGTATAATAAGTTAACATAGTCCCCACACGGTAGTTCCTGTCTCCTAACATGCTTCTGTCCACTGTCTCTTTAGCATCACTCCTACTGTAGTGCCAATCAACAGATTAATTCAGATGGAAACCCATCTGGGCATATCTAAAATTGACATATATGACTAGTATGTAAAGATTATAACCTTGGACCTTAACAACAACAAAGATTCCTACACATCCTTCTTTTTCTCTCACTCATTTTTTTTAGATGTTAGGGTCAGGATGTGGCATAACAGGATTAGCACTGAACTGTGAACAACAAGTTCGGCAGTTCAAACAACCAGCAGCTCCTTGAAAACCCTAAACAGGGTCACTATGAGTCAAAACTGACTCGACAACACTTAGTAACAACAACTGGGCTTCCTTTAGTGTTAGGGTTACGGTTAGGACTAGGGTTAGTGCCACCACTTGTCTGTCCGTTTGTCATACTGTGGAGACTTGTGTGTTGCTGTGATTCTGGATGCCATGTCACCAGTATTTTAAATGCAAGCAGGGTCACCCAGGGTGGACAGGTTTCAATGGAGTATCCAGAATAAGACAGATTAGGAAGTAGAGACAAACTGCTTCTGAGTATTTAGTCATTGAAAACCTTATGAATAGCAGTGCAACACTGTCAGGTAGCACCAGAATACTGTCAGATATAATGCTGAAAGATGAGCCCCTCAAGTTGGAAGGTACTTAAAATACGACTGAGGAAGAACTGCCTCCTCAAAGTAGAGTTGACCATGATGACGTGAATGGAAAAGGCTTTCGGGACTTTCATTTGCTGATGAAGCACAACCCAAAATACGCTGTAAACATCCATTAACAACTGGAACGTGCAATGTTGCTGTTGTTAAGTGTCATCAAGTCAGTTCTGACCGATAGCAACATTAACTACGTGGGGTTTCTGAGTAGTGGCTGGTGAGCTTGAACCACCAACCTTGCGGTTCAAAGTGATTTTGCAGTCCAACATATTAACCCACAGCGCCACATCAGGAAATGGACTGGTATTGGCCATTTTGAATCTGATAATCACATGGTTTACTATGCTGGGAATGATATATTGAAGAGGGACGGCTTTATATTCGTCATTAAAAAAAAAAATTTCAAGATCTGTCCTGAAGTACAAAACTGTCTGTGATAGGACAATATTCATTCACTGACAAGAAAGACCAATTAATACAACTATTATTCAAATTTACGCATCAACCACTAAAGCCAGTGATGATAAAATTGAAGAATTCTATCAACTTCTTCAGTCTGACATTGATCAAACATGCAATCAAGATGTATTGATCATTACTAGTGACTGGAATAAAAGACTGAAAACAAACAGGAAGGATGAGTAGTTACAAAATATGGCCTTGGTGATAGAAATGATGCTGGAGATCACATGATAGAATTTTGCAAGACCAATAACTTCTTCATTACAAATACATTTTTAAACAACATAAAAGACACAGGGAAATCACCAGATGGAATGCACAGAAATCAAAGTGATTACACATTGGTGGAAAGAAATAATGGAAAAGCTCTGTATAATCAGCCAAAACAAGGCCAGGGACAGACTGTGGCATAGACCATCAATTACTCATATGTAAGTTCAGGCTGAAGTTGAAGAAAATTAAAGTAAATCCACACGAGTCAAAATA